AAATAAAAAGAACTGTGGATGTGGCTTCACACAGAGGCCCTGGGTTTAATCCCTAGTACCAAAAAAAACACATCAAAACACAAGAAGGCAGGTAGTGGGGCTAAAGTAATGGACACGCTTTGCCCTGGGCTCCAGTTCGCAGCTTAATACAGTGTGTGTGCAGGTTCAGACCACGGGAGGGTGAGTCTCCAGGCTCGTTCTCTTCTCCAGAGCCCAGAGGGTGAAGCGTCAGAAACCCACATGCGTCTCTACTAGAAGAGTTCTTATAAAAGGCTCATGTTCTCCCTGAGAAAACAGTGGTGCTGTGCTTTTCCCCCAGGGCATTTTTTACCATTTCTAGAAATATTACCAAGGCAAAAATTCTGCACACCAGCCCACCACACCAGCCTGCCTGATCAGAGCTGCTGAACGTTGTGCCACAGTGTCATGTGGCCAAGGCCATGGGCTCACACTGTCCCTCCTGTTAAAAATAAGAGGTTGTCACTGTTCCCTCTCATGGCTGCTATGAGTCTTCTCGGGGCTGATGTTCTAATCGCATGTTAAAAATGGCTTTTGAGGGCCGGGGATTTAGCTCAGTGGTGCCGCGGCCTGCCTTGCAAACACAAGGTCCTGAGTTCCATCTCCAGTACCAAAAAAAAAGCTTTTGAAATCCAAAGAAGTGCTTTTCAGAATCCCTCCAGCTCCAACCAATTTAGACCACCTGCCCCACCCCAAACCTAATTTACTCCCTAATGACGCTCCCGTCTTTCATCTGCCACAGACCCCATGTGCTGAGATGGTCTCTTGTAGTTGGTGGTCCAGCATGGGCACCTTTGGGAACTCGCAGTCTGATGCCACATCTAATCACATTCCTCCCTTCCATGGTTTCCTGGGAAACCAGTGCACACCACAACTTCACAGCATGGAGGAAACTTAACAAAAAGACCCTGGAGTATTTCCTTTTTGTCAATAATTCTCACTCACTATAACACATCCCCATTAAAAAATGTCATATAAATGATAAAGAGCTGGTGGCAGAGGGACGGTGTTTTAATGCCATCCTTCACCAGGAACCAGTACAAGGTCTGCCAGGACCCAGATGCATGACTTTCAGCTCCATCTCTGGTGACATCTGTCATACAACCCTGGGTACTTTCTTACTCTTCCTGCCCAAATGAAAAGCAAGAAATGAAAGAAGCCTCAGTCTCCTGTGTGACCTTTTTTCTACACAATGGTTTTGCTCTGTGGTTGGCTTTTGGAGCTAGTTGGCCAGGTCATGGATGGGGTTCTGTAGGCTCCCACTTCCCACTGTGCCTCTATACTGAAAATCCTGCCTTCTTAGATACACAGGGATGACTCCCAGGCGAGGCGCTGATTGGTTCAGCACAAGTCACATGTTCTATGAACCACCCCTATGAGGGGTGAGCCATTCAGTCCATGGGGCAGAGGCATGGCTTCCTTCACCAGATACCAGCACTAGGACGTCACTGTGTGCCAGGCAAGCCCCACCAACTTGTGCCTCCCGCCAGGACCCTCCCCGGCACCCACATTTGTCACAGCCTCCTTTCTGGATACTATAGCATGCTTAGACATTTGGCTGATGAAATACATAGTGATGTGCCTAAGGAGTCTTGAATAAAGTGGCATTTTATTAATTACATACATACGTGTGTGGATGCAGGACATAAGAGTATTTCCATTTTCTAAGCAGTCCAGGCCGCACTCTTAGAAATGCAGACTCCTGGGAGAGCACAGCAGTCCACTGTAGCCCACCCTGGGTCTACCTGCTAGGAACCCACTTCCCTGTGGCCTTACCACTGCAGGGGGAAGGGTGAACAAGGGTCTTAGGAGGGCAGAGAGAGGCCCAAAGACATCAGGTGGATGCCAGGTATATCAGGGAGTGGGTCACTGAGGTGGAATTGAAAGCACAAGGTCCCACTGAATCTGATGGCTCATCTGCCTCTCAGAGACGTGACCCAAGACCCACTCCCATAAATGCCGTCTCCTGGCCATTTATTGAGCAGGCAGGTGCCCCCTCTCTATTCCGTGGAAGGCTCTATTCCTGATTGCTTTGGCTGAGATACCTGCATGACTGTGGCCCCAGGGTGGCCGTGCTTGTGTGGCCTGAGAAAGCCACTTGGATTTGTAGATCTCGATTCCTTCAGCCCCACATTGAGGAGACTGAATTCAGTGGCTGCTTCTCACTTTTCTCCATGGATGTGTGGACGTTGAACAGGGGGCCCCCAGTACCTGAGGGTAACTGGAACCCTGCTTTGTGAACTGTGGAGCAGAGCTGCCCTCCTATTCCTCACCCTTTTCAACATTTCCTTCTTTTCCCTCCACCTCTGCTGATTCACAATCACAGTCGGTGTCTGAGACTGGGAGGCTCAGGTCAGGGCTGACAATATGGAGTCGGTCCAAGCTTCTCTTGGTCATCTGTCCCTTTTCTTCCCCATCTTACTTTACGCAGAGCTTTGTCTCCTAATCCACATGAGGGCCGCTGGAAAACAGAGGAGGAGGATGTTAACAGTCACAGGCATGGGCCCCTGATCTCTCAGTGGAAGCCTTGAGGCCAAAGCAGAGCTTTGTCTCCTAATCCACATGAGGGCCGCTGGAAAACAGGAGGAGGATGTTAACAGTCACAGGCATGGGCCCCTGATCTCTCAGTGGAAGCCTTGAGGCCAAGCATATTTCAGAAGTCAGTCGAGTGCAGGTTGGGACCTGGCCACACCAGGTGGCCCTGCAGTGGGCCGGCCGTGATCAAACACATGAGTATTTCTTTAGCAAAACACAACTGTTCACCAGAAAAGCTTTTGATTTTCAGAGCATCGTGGCTTTAGGATCATGGGTCAGAGTCAGAATTTGGCTGGGTTCAACTAATGTGGAGGAGTCACCTGGAGCTGGAACGAGCACCTCTATGCAGAGGGTTCTGAGCTTGGCAGTGACACCAGCTGTCCTGGCCCGCTTCCTTTCTTCCTTCATGGTCGCAGATGAGGCCTGCATCGCAGTGCCATCAGGAGGCTGCAGAGCTCCTGGGCTAATCTGGAGCGTAGTGAGTGTTCATTAAGACAGAGCCTCCAAGATGTGTGTTCCCATGATCAGGTCACAGAGACTGGGCCTCTGCTCCTGGGATGTGGTTTCAGCCCCACATTTATGGACCTCTGACGGTAAAAACACAGGAGAGCAGCTATGCTTAACTGCCACAGCACAAGCAGGCCACATTGGTCTCCTCAGAAGCCCCAACACTGACTTGCCATCACTTCCAGGTGACTCTTCTGATTGGAGTGCAGTTTTCAGTCTTTCTGAAACTGTCAGGAGGTTGTGGCTCTGCCTTGTGTTCCCCAGGGGCTCTGGTGTGGGCTTCTATAGACCCCAGGGCAGGAGACTCATTCAGTCAGTGCATCCTGCAAGATGGAGGAGGGTGACTCACCCTGGGCTTGCAGGCCTCTCCAGCCTGGGAGACTCAGATGAGCAGCCCCCAGGAACAGCACTCCTAGCATCCAGGAGCTTCCTGTCCTCTGTGTGAAATGGGGAAGGCAGCAGCTTCCAGTCCACAGCTCCACTGAGAAGAAGCGGGTCCCATCCCCCTGCAGCAGGAGCTCTTCCTCCTGAGAGTATTTACCATCTGGATGACATGAAATGACAGGGCCATGGCCTCCCCACTCACCCCCACATCCATACAACAGCCGTGGTGGCCCAGCAGCTCCTCACCTGGCCACTGAGAGCTTTTTTTTTTTTTTTTTTTTTTTTTCTTTTTTTGTGGAGGTACTGGCAATTCACACTGAACTATATCCCCAGCCCTTTTTTATTTTGAGAAAAGATTTCACTAAGTTGCTGAGTTCACCAAGCTGGTCTCAAACTTGAAACCCTCCTGCCTCAGCTTCCCAAAGTGCTGTGATTACAGGCGTGCACCACCACAGCAGCTCTCTGGGAGGTTCTAAAGCAGACATATCCCTAGCCTCTGGCCACACCAGAACCTGCCCTCGGGACTGCTGTGATCCCTAGACCCGGGTGGGCTGCCCACCCTCACCATCTACTGGGGAAAGAAAGACAGTGGGACTGAGCCCTCAAGAGATGGGGCCCTGGGGTGCAGGGAGGAGGCACACCCTTTGGAGACCCCATGACAGGTACATAAGGAATAGAACAGGATACCGTGTGTCCCCAGGATGGGTCCTCTCATCCTGGCAGGGACTTGGAGGAAAAGCACTGGGTCACGCTTCCCTGCTCCCTCCTTGAATTTGACAGGCAGGCCAGCCACCCCGGGGCAAGTGTCGGGGACTTATCTGCAGCATTGTGGGCCTCTGCCACCCACTGTCCCCAGTGCTGGGCTCCATCCCTGCCAGGTGGCTCCTGAGGAACTCAGGAAGCCACAGAGCCCCCAGGTGAGAGGCCCAGGCAGGGATGAGGCACTGGTCAGAGAAACTAGGAGCTCCTCCCACCTCAGGAGACCCTCCACCTTCTGCTTTAATGCTTCCTCTAACAACCCAAACGACCATAAAATAATTTTGCTTTAAGAAAATGAGCTTTGAAAATGTGGATTAAATCTTTTTGGTGGAAGCTGCTGGCTTACTTTATAAAAGAGCAGAGACCTGATCAAGACAGGTCCTCAGAGGCCCCCAGGATGCCCAGGCAGCTTTCCTGCCAGACCTGAAGGGTAAGGGGCCTTTAGTGCTGGAAATTTCCCGAGCTTCCATTCTCAGTGCCCCGCCAGAGTCTCCATGGGTGTGATGCCGTCCGGAGGTGAGGCCTCCCTGCCTCCATGCAGCTGGAGAGCCCGTTTTCTCTGGTCCACAGCAGTGCCTCAGTTTCCCTTCCTGTTCCGAGTGTGTTTCTGGGCTCTGCTCCCCGTGAGCCACATAGACCGCTCCTGGGGTTTCTAGGTCTGGGAACAGAAGGCTGGAAGCCCGTGACAAGCTGACCACCCCCATCTTGGGTGAGCTGCTGGCTTAACCCCGCAGTCTCCCCTACTTCCTGCTCGGTGCTGGTGTCACCCCCTCCACTCACACGTTGCTCTCCTGCAGGCCTCGGACTCGGACTATGAGGACACGCTGCCCAAACACTCCTTTGTCAACCACTACATGAGCGACCCCACCTACTACAACTCCTGGAAGCGGAGGCCCCCGGCCGCGGCACCGCTCAGGTACGAGGCGGTAGCAGGGGCCGAGACAGGTCAGCACCCACCCCCGGTCATCACCACTCAGAGCGCGGGTGGCGTCTACACCCCGGCAGGCCCCGGCACCCGCACCCCCCTCACCGGCTTCTCCTCCTTCGTGTGACATCATGCCGTGCCGAGGCCGGGCAGATGGATGCGGACCTTCCTGAATCTATTTTTGTTAAGAAAACCAACTCCAGGAACTGAGCTGAGGTTTTGTTAAAAAAAAAAAATTCTGATATAAAATTTTACCTACTTGTGAACACTAGGTTTCAGTTAGGAAGGTTTTGTTTTGTTTTGGTTTGGTTTTAATGGCTTTTTGTAACACCACTACAGAAAGCAGGGCTCTATGTTTTCTTTTCTTTTTAAGAGAAGGTTTGTCCCTGGTGCAGTGGCTCAGCAGCGCCCAGCCCTGGGCTTCTCATCCTCCAAGCCAGCAGAGGTGACAAGGGACAGGAGGTGGGGTCCTCGGAATGGAGTCCTGGGCCTGCTCCATCTCTACCTCCTCTTCTGAGAACCAGCTCTGTCCTCGGACAACTTGGGCTCCTGGCTGCTGGCTCACTTGCTCATGGGGTATAGTGAGCAGGCGCTTTGACCTGGGCTCAGCTCAACTTTGTGACCCAACTCAGTTCCTAAATGTTCTCACCCAGCAGTTTCTAGGCAAGGAATCAGCTTTAAGGGGTGGGGGGTGGTGAGCAACTGGAAGGTGGTGTCCTCTACCCTGCCCAGGCTCCGCTTGGCTTCTGTCATTCAGGTGGTGAAATATTCAGGGCTTTCCTTTCTTCCCTTCTTTCTTTCAAGTTGACCGAGCAGGAACAGGACCCCACACACACACACCTCACTCCCGGGCCAGCCAGGTCCTTCAGTGAACTTCCCATGACACAGCACACGGCCCACCCCACTGACAGAGAAGTGAGCCAGTGTTCACAGAGTTGCTTGTTATGTAGGAAGTGTGCATTGTTAACCAGAGTATTTTTTAAATCTTTTTATCTTTTTTTAAACTATGTCACATGAAATGAATGCGTCTTTGCTGTCTCCAGGTGCCTTTTTATTAATTGTTCAGCTTTGTACGTGGGAAAAACGAGAAGCAACCGTGTCTCCAAATAAAGCAAAACAACTCTGAGACCCAGCCCTGTGTCACCTCGTGCACCCTGGGCCACCTGTGCACCTGGGGAGACGGTCCTTCCGTTTGTCCCCTTGCTCTTGCCGGCTGCCCCTGCTTCTGACTAGCAGTGCTGCTGCTCCCACCCTAATCCAAGGCCAGCTTGTAGCCTTAACAGGTTTTCTGGGAACAGTTTTTCTTTAATTGTCGCTGTTTTAATTTTTTTAGCTAACTGAAAATAGTGCAGACTGCTTTGGAATACTTAAGAGTTCAGACCCCAGCAGTGCCTCTGGCCTTTGCCATTATTTTTGTGACAGATGGCTGAGTCAGCTCCTCAGCCAGAGCCCAGGTGTGGATGGAAGTGAGCAGAGACTGCTGGTACCAGGCGGCACGAGCACCCCACCTCCCACCTGTCTGTGACACGTGACGCTGGAGACCCTCTGTCAGTACCCAGAGCACAGCAGGGTGAGGTGGGCACTGTCCTCCCAGGGACCTCAGTGTCCTGAGGGTGGGGACTTGCTAGGCCATCGCCTAGCTGGTGCCCGCAGGAGGCCAGTTCCACGGCCTCGCGTGGGCCACGGAGTGGATATTGTCTCGGTTCCTTGCTCTCAGAGTTCCCGGGAGTGGCCCCAGGAGACCAAGCAAAGGTTGATGTGAGGCGAAAACCCTTTCCAGCTTCTCCAAAATCGAAGGTGTAAAGAGTCCTCTCTCCCTTCTTCCTTCTGCCCTCCCTGTCTTCCTTCGTTTTCTGAATGGAAGGGGAAATATTCTAAACCAAAAATCCTAGATGTTCTGCCCAAAGCCACTTCCACATGAGAATCACCATCCACAGTCCACAGGGGATGAGGGGACAGCTTTGGTGGACAAAGCTGCCTCCTCCCTGTCACCCCAAAGAGCCGGGGAGTGGACAGGAGACCACAGCGCAGCCACGTGCGCTTCAGGAAAAAAAGGCTCCGCAGAGGTCTGGGCCACCACCGTGCACTTTTGCTCTTAAGCCATAAGGAAATTGCTTTAATGAATGGGACAGCCCAGCATGCCTTGGCCTGAGGTATGATTTGGCTCTTGGTTTCTCATGACAACAATGTGGCCCTTTTTTTCAGACTCATATTCCCTGTGCTCTCAGTAAACTTTTTGTCACACACAGTGGTCTTTTGAAGCTGGCCCCGTGGCTGCTGACAGACAGTTGTCACTGGCTGCAGTCCAGCCTGTCACGCTGAGAAACTCTGTCCCAAATAAGTCACCTGTATCCAAGGAGCATGGCCAGAGCCTCCAGTTAGCTTTCTGCCCTTGGAGCAGAGTGGGCACTGAGGTCTGCTCAGCCCTCACCTCCTGCCTCTAGGAGAATAAGGATGTGGACACTGGCTTGGAACCGCTGTTCTGACCACAGGACAAGTAACAGTTCCATAATTGAGGTGAGCTGTGGGTGTTCTTGCTGTCTGTTTGTAGAGCTGAAAGCTAGCCCTGCAGGAGCTTTGGAACCAGCAGCCGTCATCTCCCCATGGAAGCTGCACCGTGCCTAAGGTTAGGCTTGCGCTGTGAAGCGCACTTCCCTTCCCAGAGCACACGGCCATGCCCAGAGGGGTCTCTCCGTGTACACTGCTCCAGGTTGCCCCTCTACATCTCTCCCCTCCCCTCCCTGCTCGTCTTCCCCACCCCGGAGGGAGAAGACGAGGTGGAGGGTGGCAGTCTCTCCCTCACCAGCCCTGGGAGAACACACACCCAGTCCCGGCCACCGCCTGAGTGCACTGGCCACCCTCATGGATGGCACTTGTCGTCATAAAGGTCTTGCTCGATCTCTCCTGGTGTGAAGCATGTGCTGGTGTTGCATCGCAGTGTGGAGCATGGTTTTTCGTTTTACATGTTTTGGGCACACAACACAGCTGTCCCCGATGCACAGCTGTCCACGCACCCGGCAGGGGCACCTTCCGCTCTCGGAACCTACAAGGTCCAGGCAGAGGCAAGAACCGCATGAAATGCAGTGAGGTACTCATCTGCACTCAGTGCCACCTTCCCATTTAGAGAGCTCAGGGCAGGCCCGGATTTCCCCTGTAATATTGTCTGAAATTGTGCAGAAAACCAGATCTCATTTTAAAAGAAAGGGGGGGGGAACACAATTCAACAACTTGTAGGAAGGCAGAGGTGCTATGGTACAATTTTTAATAAAAATATTATTTTGTTCCTTAAATGCTTGTGATGTTCTTCAAGTATTGGTAGAATGACCCCAGAGTCCTTAGGAGCATTCCTGAATGCTAAGGCTGTAAATAGAAACCACTGAAACTTTCGAGCCATGCATACGCACGCACACACCCCTACCTGTGCCTTTTGTGAGGTAGACAGAGTCCACCCCAGTCAGGGGAGGTCAGAGGGAAGCCCCCACAAGAGCACCCTGGCCTTGTAGCAGGTGTTCCCGGAGCCAGCGCGCCCACCACTGAGCCTTCACAGGTGCCAGGGAGGGGAAGAATTGCTCATGATCAACCTTGGCCTTGATCAGGTGGAATGTGGAGCTTGAGCGAGCCGACCCCCCCCACCAGGGGCCTACACCAACTTGGGGAGCGCTCTGAGATGGGGGGAATGAGGCATGCATGGAGTTTTCCAAAGCATCTACCAACCCCATGCTTGCGAGAGCCACTGCCACCAGGAGAGGGTTTGGCTTCCCCACCACCTGTCACCCCCACCCAGGAGAGGCTAAAGAACCCAAAGCTGGGTCACACCCAGAGCAACTGAATCCAACCTTTGGGGATTGGACCCAGGCATCTGATTTGTTTGAGGATCCCTAGGTAACAGCCATGGAAGCCACGTTCAGAAAATATAGCTGCTGCCCACTGCAGAGAAGAGGCAGCAGAGAAGGGAGGGTCCTGGGTTCCAACCTTGCCAGCTTTGCCCTTTTGCTCCAGAAGCGGCCACTGTCACAGCTTTGCCCAGGCAAGACTGTGTCCCTTTTCTCTCTTTTCCCCTGCTATTGTCTGTTTGTGTCCCAGCCTCACTCCACGCTTAATTCGGAATTGAAACCTGAACATTTTCCACCGTCTCCAGCAGTTCAGAGATTTCAGCTATTACACACAGGGTCGATGACACTAAATAATTCTCTGTGTCGGGGTTCGTCCCACTTGTTAATCTACACATTTCCCACTAGGGCCCTGACAGGGAGCTAAAGTCAGGGGTACCGTTTTGAGGTGAAGCCCCTGGTCCCAATGAGCCAGCAGTCAGATGTGAGCCGACGGCTCCTGAACCTGGCTGCATCGTCTCCTACCTCCCCAGGTGCCACCGCTTTCACCTAAGATTCTCTGGGATCTCTGGGCAGTTAGCCCTGCATGCAGCACACGCTGCTATACAGCCCAGAGCTGCTGCTGGCCCGGCAGATGTGCTGGGACTCAGAAGACTACTTCCCATCATCCTCTGCTGAAAGAGGGAGAAAAGGCCTGGCTTGATCTGGCGTGTTCTGGGCAAAGCCTTGCTATTATTATTATTAATATTATTATTATTGAAAAGGTAATGGAAGACACTTTGAAATGCAGTCATTGCTTAGACTGGGAGTCTCCATGTCTTGTATGCTGATGAGAGGTAGAGAGCCGCACTGGGAGGGAAGTAACTTCCGTGTGGAAGTTCGGGTGCTGATCTGCATGTGTTCTTTGTGGATGTAAGGGGCAGAAATCTCCTACTCCACACCTGCTGGGAGAAGCCTTGGACTCCTGGGTATGGGTTCTGCGGGACCCTGTGGTCGCCTTCCTTGGCCAGAGCCTGGGGGACCCGCATCTCCAAGAAGTCAGGTTTCCTTAAAAGAAACTGGGATCCCAGGTCATCCTCTCCCTCCCAAAGAGCCTGGTCTACAGGGGGGCGGGGACCTAGGACCTCTAAGTGGTTCCATGGACACTGCCAGCCCTCAGCAAGGCCCCTCTGAGCCAGCAGAACCCAGAGACAAACTCCAGGCAGGGAGGGACCTTGATTGTGCTCAGGCTGCCTGTGTCCTGCTCCTCCCACCCAACGAACCGTCACTGCCTCCAGGTTGTCACCGCTACAGGCATCACGGTGGGATGGTCATGCTCACAGGCCAACAGGCAGCAGGCGCCCTCACCAGACAAGCGTGCCATGCAGACCAAGGGAGGCTGACAGAACCAGTGCTGCCCTGCACTGGAGTGTGAATGCAGAGCAATCGGGGCTTTCTTGTGCCTTCTCTGAGGTCCCTGGCTCTCACTTCCTGCTTCCTGTCCCCTTGTCCAGCTCTGGAAATCCCCATAAACTCCTTTTGCTGAACTTGTCCTGAGACTCTCCACCCATGTGTAATTGGAGAATCTGCTTCATGCACTTCAAGGAGCCCCCACCACAGGACTGGGCTCGGGTGCTGCCTGGGCATCTGCCCCCCCATGGCCAAGCTATTGAGACACGGAGACAGCAGCTGGAAGTGCCCATTAGCTCTCAGAGCAGCAGTCTCGTCCCTCACCCTGGGCCCAGGCTCGGGAGAAGAAGCACACAGCAGCTTTTTCCCAGCTGAATATCCAGCACCTGCCCAGGCAGGGGATTGCTCACAGTGTACTGCGGGCATAACCTTACACAGCCAGCTGCACAGGCAGCATCTCCAAGACAAAAAATGCCATGAATACCATGAGCTCTTTCTAAATGGCCCAGCCAGGCAGATACTCAGCCTCTGCTGTGTCACACAGCAAGAATATTTGGGGTTGATTCAGGGAAATGCTAACAGAGCAGGTGCCCCCCACACACACACCTGTGTGTGCTCCTTCTCCACCATGGCCTCTCCCTAACCCCAGAAGAGAGGCAATGCATTGTCACCCTGTCCCCCAGCAGATCTAGAGCCCTCACATCAAGCTATATCCCACTTGTAGGAAAGAGGACCCTGGAGGACATCTGGCCTCAACCATGTGACCCATGTGCCATGGCAGGGGGCACCCACAGTGCCAAGAAAACTGCAGAGCTGGCCCTGGTTTTGAGTTAGGTGGCAAGGTTCTAGGATACTTCCCAAGGAAATCCAAACACAAGCAGTGGTCTCCAGCTCCTGCTGAATTCACACTTAGCCTTCAGTAGCCTGGTTTGGCTGTGGAATGGAACTGTTCTGATATTTTATGTGGGAGCCTCAGAGGCTTTTTCAAGCCTCCTGATTCAACAGTCCATTTTTCTAAAATAGTTGGTGCACCAGACGCTTATTTCAAAATGATTTGAACACATCCATGGCTTAGCCTGTACAACGACCTCAGAATTTGCCAAAAATTCTTTCCCTTTAATGGCTAAGTCAATTAACAGCCAGCATGGCAAAAATTCCAAGCTGTTAATTCTGGGCTCTGTGGTCCTAAAATGTCCTGCTTCTCCTCAGATAAGACAATATTCTGCAGTCATTAAGCAAATCACTACATTATAGGGTTGAATTTGATCCAGACTCAAATATTTTAATAAAAAAGAAAAGTCTCATTTGTGAAGCATCTTGAAAATGCCTACTTCCGTGGGATTCTGCGGCCACTCTGGGCTTCTTGGTGAGTCCCCAGCAGGGGCCAGGAGAATTCCCACTCACTGGGCGGAGCCCCAGGTGTGCACTGGACCATCCTCGCCTCTCTGTGACTTAAAGGATATTTTTCAAGAATGTTGAGTGCTGGAGAATTATAGAACTGGGCTTGCCAGAGAGATGAGGTCTGAGAGAAACTGGGCGGAAATCAAACCAGCCCCTGAGGAAGTCCAGAAGAGTCCATCTTTTCTTCTAGCTTCTGCTCACCAGTATGTCCTTTGGTGCAGTCCCATGCACCGGGGGCTTCCAGGGAGGCAAGAATGCAGATGCCACCTGCCTTGCAAGCTGCACATGACCAGATGCTGGGTTCTGGCAGGGGTGCTGCAGGGCTGCCAGCATGATAAAAGGTCACTCCACCAAGGAGGCGTAACAATGCTAAATGTGTATGCATCCAAAACCCTCAACTGAGGATGAGGGCTTTAGTTCAGTGGTGCCTCTGCCTGCTTCACAAGTACAAGGTCCCGAGTTCAAACCCTGGTACCAAAAAAAAAAAAAAAAAAAAAAAAGAGGCTTTAGTTCAGTGGTGCCTCTGCCTGCTTCACAAGCACAAGGTCCCGAGTTCAAACCCTGGTACCAAAAAAAAAAAAAAATGTCAAGCAAAAGTGAATAAGAACTAAAAAGAAAAACAGACAAGTCTACAATTTGTAGTTGTAAATTTCAACACCTCTCACAATAAATAACAGACTGACTGGACCAAGAAAAAGTTAGCAAGGTTAAAAAAAAAAGCCATAAAACCACAAGCCAGTAGGATCGACATCTATAGCAAACTCCATCCAACTGAACAGCAGAATACACATTTTTTCCAAGTACCTAGGGACCATTATCCAAGATGGATCATATTCTGACAAACCTTGGTATGTTTAGATGAACTGAAATTGTGTTCTCTGCACAAAATGGAATCAACCCGCAAAGCAGTAATAGGAAGATAACAGGAAATTCCCCAAACATTTGCAATATTTAGAAAATTCTATATGCTCCATGGATCCAAGAGAAAATCTTAGGGAAATAAATTACATATTACTAAATGGAAATGAAAAATACAAGTCAATTGTTTGGTTGAAACTTAGAGAGTTCTGGAGGTAAATTTATAGCACTAAATACATTGTAAGAGAGGAAAAGTCTCAGACCAATAATCTAAGCACTTACCTCAAGAAATTAGAAGAACAAAATGAAATCCAAGAAAGGAGAAGGAAACCAATAATAAATATCAGAGCAGAAATCAGTGAAATTTCTTGTTTTTTTGTTTGTTTGTTTGTTTTGTTTTGGGGGGGTTTTTTTGTTTTCGGGTTTTTGTTTTTTGGTACTGAGGATCTAACTCGAGTCCTTGTGCTTGCAAGAGTTTTGTTTTGGGGGGGGTTTTTGTTTTCGGGTTTTTGTTTTTTGGTACTGAGGATCTAACTCGAGTCCTTGTGCTTGCAAGGCAGGCGGCAGAACCACTGAGCTAAATCCCTGATCCATTGGAAATCAGTGAAATTTAAAAGAAAAAATTATAGAGGAAAATCAACAGAACAGAAAGCTAATTCTTTGAAAAGGTTAAGAAAATTGACAAACCTCTAGCACGACTGACAAAAAATAGAAAAGATGCAAGAGTCATGAATGAGGCTGGGTCAATCACCTGCAGAAAGGCAAACTGCTCTGAACTGTGGATTTCAGG